AGTGAAGGACAGGAAGGCCTGGCGCAATGTGGTTCATGGGGTCACGAAGAGTCAGACACGACTTAACGACTGAACAACAGACTATTTCCTCACTAGAGAATTATACTGTCACAAACCATTGTAGCAATAGAAAGACTGTCTCCAGTAGTGATATGTCCCCATAACAATACTGTAGTTGTATGATGTTACAAGAACACTATATATCACTAGTGAGGCTCTGGAGTAGCATTTTCAATTTTGCATTTGACACAATCCAATTTCATTGGTTCACCAAAACATCTAAACACTTCTCAGAATTTGCAAACTACATTCTACAATATCCTGAGCCAGAAACTATTTCCAACAAGGTCTAACAGAAGGTTTTTTGGATCTAGACCATTTCACTTAAGAAACAAATGCTGTATCCAAGAATGAAGAGATTCATCTTATTGAAATAACGAAAAGAACATTACTAGAAGAGTTTTGGATGAAAGCACACAAATAACTTTTATCCAGAGGGCACTGAGGTCCTAGTATCTTTCCTTCAACATACCTTTGTGAAATACGATTTTCAATATTCACTACAATTAATACCAAATACTGAGAGTCATTTCAATTACTCTCAATCTCATTCCAGACATGGATATGATGCCATTGCATGTATCTAAGTCTCATTAAGATTTATAATCAGTGTATTAAAATTAAGGGACAGCCAGTGGGACTGAATTAATTAATTGATTAATTATTAATTAAATTAATTTTTAAATTAAAATTAATTAATTAATTAATTAATTAAGGCTGTGGCTCAAGATTGGGGAAACCCTGGGTGATTCGGGCAAGTCATTCTGCCACAGACCATCCTACCTCACAGGATTGTTTGCTATTGGGGTTTAAATGAATGGAAATCCCAATGCAAGCCACCTTGAGCTGCTGAAGAAAAGGTGGGATAACTAAATTAAAAAGTGAAGATGCCCTGCAGCTTGACTGCTGGTGACTACATGGATAAATCCATGGCATTCTTGGCAAGAATAAATGCTTTTCCCACTGCCTTCTTCCACGACCTTCTTCAACTTCCCCCAGCTCTGGAATTCCCTGCTCGTCTCCCTTTCCTGTCCAAACTAGGCTGCATCGAGTTATCTTCCCTTGCTCCCACCTGCTGCTTAGTAAAAGCATGCTGTATTTCAATATTCATTCCTCCTTTTTTAGAAAGAAATAATCTTTGGTGTCCCTGATATATATATATTTTTAAAGACATTTTGTTTGGTCTTCCACACTTCGTTAAAGTTTGAGACAGGCTGGTTTAGATCTCGCTTTGGAGACTCCCAAGGGTCGGGTCTCCTCCGAGATCACGTGGACGTGGGAAAGAGCCTCTGTCCGTCCCGGAGAGCTGTGACCATCGCCAGGGAGAGGCCGCTGCAAGGGCTTGGCCTGCTTGGACGCCACTCATCCCACTGAAAGAGCCTCGGACCATCCGGCGCGGCT